CCATTTCAGTCGCTTTTTTTACATCATGACCTTCAATTATTATGAATTATAATGCGGGCCTTGATCGTTGCCACCTTACCAGAAGTCTAATCTTCGCACTGTTAGACTATGAGAATCTCTGTTATAAATGCACCATTGACTTTTCCTTGCTCAGCTTCCGGTAAACCGATACTCCGAAGCAAAAATAGCTTTACAACGACTCTATCCAGGCCAGAACTCCTGATATCAACAAATATACCCCCCCTCTAAAGAGAGCAAACGTTCCCCGAACTATTCACTTGACTCACCCCATCCCTTCGTTAAGAAAAACTACGCACTCAGTTCACTGGACAAAGCGCGCTCGTGAATATACCAAACTATAGCCGTTCATCCTACAAGGAATCTCAGTTTCAGCAGGCGTGGCCACGTTTCCAGTTGCTGTAAGGTTAAATTCGACACCTGCAACAGACACTGTAAATTAAATAGAGTGTTTTCACTCACGTGGCCAGCATCTATGCAAATTTATTGGAATAAAAAAAGAAAGCGTTTGCATAAGAAAGGCGTTCAACTCCCACAGGACTGGTTTGGGACACCAACATGGCCGCCGTTTCATTGTTTTGGGACACCAATATGGCCGCCGTGACGTCATGTGAAAACACTCTATACCTTGAAACTGTCAGGACGAGAAAGTTTATAAAAGACTTAACAGGTGTGCGCGGCGGTTTCCTTTTCTTCCTTTCCTCCCATTGTGACACTCAAATTCTGACCCTGATACTAATTCTAGTAGTAATTAATCGTTCCTGAGCCGATAGGCACAAGGATACCAGTTTCTTGCAAAATATGCTGTGACATCCGTTTGCTCATCCCCTTTTCTGCCTTCGGCCGCTGATTAGGTTTGGTTCTGTGCTTTGAAATAACTTTAGGAACAAACATGAGGGTCGTGAAGGGGTAAAATGGGAACTGGGATTAGCCTTATTGTGGACTGGGAAAATGGGATTTACTCACTGGGACTGGGATTTAGCCACTGGGAATGGGATGAACAATTATAAAATGGGAATGGGATTTCTTTTCTTCAGTGGTCTTTGCTCCAATATTTTGAAATAGAAAAATAAAATTTCGTAGCAATAGACCTTGCACTCCTCAGTAGAGACCGTGAAATCAGTATTTTTCGCCTTCGCGCCCGCGGTCTAGCTACCAGGCTTACACGGTTGCATAGTTACGTTCTGTCAGTTTTCCTGGTCAGCGGACAAGTTCTGCAAGTTTGCATATGGTGGGAAGATATTGTGAAGGGAAGATAAAAATGGCTTCGGAAAAGGTTTCTTCGCAAAATGGTACTAGAAATCAAGTACGTCAATGCAAATAACGCCGTTATACACACCGAAAATTTGGTAACTGGGATTTTGGCAAAAATTAGCCTGGGAACTGGGATTTGGTACCCCCCTTCACGACCCTCAAACATGATACGTGAGGGGTGTGTCCGGCTAAGGGCAAGTGACTCTCGGTGGTGAAGACATATCCTGAGCTTGTCAGTATTTCGTAGCCTGTACCACGTCGCGAAAATAGAACAAGCCAAAGAAAAATAAGACGCCTTTCTTTCCCCAGCCCACGCAGGTTTTTCGCATTACTTTTTACTGCACAACTGATTCTACCTTTTCGAGCCGGAGCGAACATGGACGCCCTCCACTTCATTTTCGGCACCTGACTAAACGCAAGCGCTGACTTGTGCGCCTATGCTTCGTTTGCACTGAAGTAGCAGTATATGACCACGACAGACTTGCTGCTATCCTTGGTTTGAAACCGCAATGGGCAAGAACAATTTCTTGAAAAGAGCAAACTATTTCCTCCTTAGCAGACATGGAGAACAACTACTAGGACTTAAGCAATGCCATTGCTTAAGTCCTACTAGACTTGAAAAGAGAAAGCATGATGCTTTCTCTTTTTTATGATTTACGGCTAAACAGTACAATTTCATGTAGCTTTTACACAAAATTAAATACTTAGTTGTTTGCAGAATTGCATTTAACAACAAATTACAGAAATTTAACTAAGTTTAGATCTCATAAATAAGAATTGAACGGAAAAAACTTTTGGGGTAAAAAAGTCAAAAAATGTTTGCTGGAAAATCACTTAATGGACATATATACAATAGCAGAGATATCATGCCTGTAATTTTCCGTTCAATGCACCTTATGAGAAGTCTGATTAATCCACTGGTAACCCATGCCTTAAAACCGCCTTGAACCTTAAAATTTAATCCATTTGCCTTTCATGCGTAGTGCAAATATATATATCTTCTAAACACTCCGGGGTTGGGGGTAAAATCAGAAGAACAGAAGATTCAGTTACTGTACCATTTTTAAAAGTGGGACAGTATGTTTGCTAATCATCTTAGTTAACCGCTTTTAAAATAGGACAAAAGGACACCTGGTCATACAGGAAAATGAATTTACTGTATCCCGAAAGCTTTGGTTTCCCGTGCACTTATTTTTCGCAGGAGACAATCGATAATTGCCTGGTCACG